ACATCTATTATAGGTTGAGGTAGAAACCATGTTGGAACAGCTGATAACAACAGTGTGCAGAGTTTAAAGTGATCAAGTCATTTTACAGGATAAAGGAAATACAGTTCAAACTGCCGTTGCAGTTCAAATCACCGACTGTGTGAACGTGAAAATAAATAGAATATCCCCTACCATCTTCAGAGCAATCTGACTATTATATAGACCCTCCAGAAAAACACGGGCAAAAAATCCTTGATTATGCGGGCTAAATTCCTTGATTATGCAGGCTAAAATCCTTGATTATGCGATTAAACATGCAGGATTTTTATGTGATTTTATGCGGTGAAACTGCGGGAAGTTGCGAAATATGCGGAAAGTTGCGAAATATGCTAAATATGCGTGAAAAAATTATCGATTTTTTTAAAATATTGGGCTGTCTTATTTATTCTCTCTCACACACAACCTGCCACTAACGTTAAACCCCTTTACTATTCAATTAAACAAATTCAATGTTTATTTATTGTAAAAGCAATTGGGCTATTTTAATCTCACACACACACACACACACACCCACCCCCCCCCTCACACACACACACACACACTTCTCCGCCTCATTCTGTTTTCATTTACGCGTTCGTTATCTGCAGCTTCAATCTTGTAGGCTACTCACCTCGTTTCTTGTAGCCCTCGAAAGGGTTTTGGAGGTTGATGCCTCGTGAACGTGAGTTGTTTGGCTTTCTTGTCCGCAGCAGCAGAAAGCATTTTCGAATGTTTGAATGAATCAAAGTGGGTCGTCACCGTCAATTTTCTCTTATGCTCCAACACACAGTTGCACGGGGTGCAGAATAGTTTCCCCCCACTTTTTGCCCGGTCTTTAGTAGAAATGTTCGTCGGTAAATGAGATGGATTAGATATTTTCATCTTGGTGTTTTCTCTATCGTGTGAGCTCCACACGTTCACTCTATACAGTGCTCCAGACACCACCCCTTTTATGTGAACGCGCACCTAACTAGATAGGACACGGCTGGCTTGAGCGAACAAGTTGATAGCCAGCGTTGTAGGACAGTTTAGCGAGAGCGGCTTTGTTTTGGATTAAGTCAACCGGATAACTCAAAACATATCCAGGATAGGTTGAACTAGATTCGTAGTATACCCCCCTGGTCCCGACCAGGTTAGCCGCACACCAGCTTCGTAGGACCGGAAACCCCGAGTTTTCCATGAAGTTAGCCGGCTAACTTCATGGATCATGGATCTAATGGTTAAGAAAAAGGTGTAAATCACCCAAATCGACCAATGGGTTCCAGAGATATGGTCCTGCGTAAAGTATAAAGAATGCCAGCCAGCGGCAGCACATTACGCAGCAGACTCTACACGTTGTTTGCTACGTAAGGAAGCAGGAATTTTAGCAGGACCCAGAGCACACAGAGCACAGAGCGGACAGCAGATAACAGAGCAGATTACAAGATTTGCGTTTAGGACTTTTTCTATACTTTGACTTTTGTCAAATAATGGCTCGCAGGAAAGAGTCATTCTAGAGTGTGGTTTTATTGTATAGTGCGTTTTAAAAATGAAATTACAACAGTTGTATTTGGATGGAATGAATACCTATAGGGATAATTCAAAGTAATAAAATGATTTTTACAGTGAAAAAAGTCAAATGGAACTGAGGGTTCCCAAATTACCCAGAGGTGAGTCCGCCTGGACCTTATTTTTCTAAACCTCTCTAAAAATGTCAGATTTCACTTGTTTTGCATCAATCTTAATACAGGGTACTTATTGTATGTTATAGTTTGGATTCCTAAAGCTTTTAGTCTACCATACCATCATTCAAGGGTGGTTTTCACTAGAAGTAATGTTTTTTTTAGGCAGAGATTAGAATGTACATGTTTTTACTATGTTCATTCTGAATTTACTTTAAAATAAAGACATCTATATTGATTCTGATACTTCTACATCCAACTCGCAGATGTAACCTTGCTTTGAGAAAAAAGATTATTAATTTACCCCTTTTAAAAGTGAAGATATGGTCATTTGTTCTGGGAATGCCATTTTCGAGCCTGAGACCTGAAAAACAGGCTTGGGGCTTAACAGGTTCCCTTTCCGTAAAATGTGAAATGCTGTGGCGTTTTCTGAAATGCTGTAGTGTTTTTTGAAATGTCGTTGCGTTTTATGACATGTTGAAGTCTTTTTTGATATGTTGTAGTGTTTTGTGAAATGTTGTTTTGACTTGCACTTCAGGGCCACTGTAGAAAAGTGACACAGGACAAAACATACTCCTAGCAAGTGTTTCAATCACAACGTCCAGTTATTACTATTTTAAATTGTTACCATGCATCGTTGTAGTACCCATCATAACAGTTCATAAATGCATTGTGTATAAGTATATAGTAAATTCATATATATTAATGCCAGAAAGTTCACATTGTGTGGCTGTAAGGCACATTTAAACTATCTCTCAAATCCAACACAGATTTAGTTATTTTCACAAGATGCATTGTCTTCAAGCTCACAGTGTTCCAGTGTTAACCGGTTATTTATTTTTCAGCTGACTGGAGGCACTCTATAGGCAGGTGTTTACAACTTATAGAAGTTTTAAATGACCCCTAAAGGCTGTGGACTTAAACATTTAAAGTGGCGTAGTGTCATTTTACCATTATTAAACACAATTATGACTGCTGTTAAGCCTCATTGATTAAGCTCCAGCTTCTCTGAAGAAAATATTTATTTTGTTATCAAAAAGCACCACATTGTGTCCCATTGACATTCCATTTTCATCAGGCATTCCATTTTATGAGTACAATGAAATTGCTAACTGAAGATGCGTTGTTTTTGTTTGCATTGATGCTAATGTTATGTATGTATCAATTATGTTTTTTATGTGTGAAATATTCTTTTGGACAGTGTACATACTTAGGGAGTGCATTATGTATAACATTCGAATAATAATTAAAGCATGCTCAGCACAAACGATACATGCTTTAGCTAATGATAGACCACCATTAGGATACATACAGTTTTCCATCTGCTGAACTCCTGTTCCAGCTCGCAGAAGTCATGCTCTGTATGTCTGTCTGTATTTCTGGAGTTATTACAGTCAGTTTCAAGTCCAATAATTAAGTTAATGTTCTTTTTTCATTGGCTTCCAGGGTCATTTGGAAATTCCTAAGCCAGTCTTCATGTACTCGTAAACAACATAGCTGATGCTGACAGCAGGAATTACTTTCATGAAGTTTGGCAGGATGCCTCGGTAGAGTCCAAAAAAGCCGTCTTTGGCTACGATCTTCTTCATCAGATTGCTCATGGAGGGCTGGTCTGTTGTATCCAGAGACGCTGCAGAGAAAAGGGTAAGTGAGGGAGGCGGTGCTGCATCTGAAAGATTTTTACTCTGGTGCTGTATGCTAAAAGGCAGCCTATTTATTATGTGACTTATAACTCAAGTGTATGTGACCAGAATATATTGGGTGCCTTCACAGAGTTTGGTCAGCACATTAACGCAATAATTATGAAAAATATAATGCACTGTGTAATTACGTAAGGCTGAAAAGATTAATGGAAATATATTGCATTTGCAATATGGACACATTTTAATCCGAGGATGCGCGATATTATTATTTATCATAAGACAAAATATGAGTGAAAATAAATTAAGTATTGTGGTGCTGCAGAGATGTTCCACCTTAACAAACTGATTATTCTACATACTTATAAAAAACGATATGTTTGATACAGATCCTTGCAGAAAATCTCACCAACAAATACTTTATTTTTCAATGAAAATAAGAAAATGTATGCAAAAATGAGCATTCCTTCCAATACCGTGGACCATATCGCAATTGCAAGATCAGTCAAAAATCACAATTATATATTATTCCAAATTGTAGTGACCTAAATGATGTGCTATATAGGTGTTGTTGTCACGGTCATAAAATGCAGATGAGTTTACCTTGTGCCTGCATCCGTGTGCGCACCAGTGCGAGGGGATAGCTGGCCAGCTGTCCGCAGGTGCTGGAGATGGTGCCGCAGGCCACCAGCACCAGAACTCCAGGGTTAGCTGAGTCTTTGGTGTGATGCGTCAACCACGTGTTCTTTAGAGTCTGAAACACAGTAAAGACAATAATTGAAAACCATCAGCACACAATTACTTTATAATATAAGATGAACTGGTGCATATAATTAAATTAATTAAACAAAGTGCACCCACTAACACACTGTTTTGAAATATCACAAAGGAGAAAAATAAAATCACAAATCCTGCATACCTCATAAACAGCGAGGTCTATCCCAGCGTAGGGGATTATGCCCACTAAGTTTGGGACGTAGCCCTTGTAGAAAGCCATGATTCCCTCCTTCCTCAGGATCTTCTTGGCACAATCAAACATTCCTGTATATTGGCCAGTTTTCCCAAGGGTCAGTCTAGTTTTCAATACCTTAGACAGAGAAATCACGAAAGGATAAAAACGTTGGAATATTTCTTTTTTTTTTCTGTGGTATTTTCAAGTTTTGGTGAAAAGCTGTCTCACCTCCATGGGGTAGATGGATGTCTGTGCAGTGGCTCCGGCCAGAGAGCCAGCTACAAACCTCTTGTGTGTCTCAATCTTCTGGCCCTCTGATGACAACAACTTCTTATACTACAGAACACATTTAAATGGAAAAAAATAAAGGATTTTTATAAATATGAATAATGTTATAAAACTGTGATGAATACCATCAAAATATATACAGTATATATGGCAAATTGAATTTGCAGTTTAGAGCTTACTTGTTCATATGCCATGAATTTGATAGCTGTCTCTGGTGCGATCTTTAAAACGTTGGTCCCATTTCCCCTCCACAGTGAGGACAGACCTCCCTCTTTGATCATCCGACTGAAGCCCCCCACGAGGCTTATGGGGTTAGTCTTAGAAGAATGAACCTGCAGAACAAATATATGAGGTTACATATATTCTTTTATTTATCCCCCTAGGCGAAATATACATTTGTCAAATGTTCTTTAATATATTTCACCTGCATGAAGACCTTCATTCTGTCCAGAGGGGCAGTCCCAGTGCGAGAGATGGCCCCCGCCACGGCCCCCGCAGCAAGCTGCTTCCACCATCGACCTGAGCTCTTCTCCTCCTCTGTGAACTCATCTGGGATGGCAAGACTGTCCCCTATGTCCAGCACCTAGTTAAACACATCTGCTGAAATCACTTTGGTTTGTCAGCTTATGGCCATAATAAATAGAGTAAAACGCTTCTTATATTATTATTTTGGCCTTGAAATTGTATCTCTTTCATGAATGGTACATGTTACATAAGCTTGGGTGGTTGTCAATGTGACAAAAAAAACTTTAAATGCCTAAAAGCACTTCTCCTTTTGAGGTCTATTGTCTCAGTGATGCAGCAATCGTTTTTACATGCTTGCCAAATAACCTATACACTGGAGAAGGAAGTATTCGCAGAACTTGAATGTTAGGTTTCACCATGGAAGTTAACACTGCAGAAAATACTGCAGAGGTTGAAACTATTTCAACAACATATGTTATCTGAAACAGCCTGCAAGACGAGGGCGCAGTCAGCTTAGTGATATGCATTGAGCTCCTTATCAATCAGCATGAACTGCTTGTGAAATCATAATCACTAAGCTGACTGCGCCCTCGTCTTGCAGGCTGTTTCAGATAAACATATCCCATGTTTTACAAAAAGCAGAAATGGGGTGTTTCTCAATGTAGAGGACGCTTCCTTGGTAGGACATATCCCTCTGAGTCAGGTCCTTCAGAAGCGAGGCAAGAATCCTTCCTAGCCTCGGAAAACGAAGAATGGTTGAACAGGCTAACAGGTGTGCAGGTGTGCGTCATATGCGAGGCCCCGCCTTAAATGGAGCGCGATTTCCACCAAAGATTTGGGAAATTGGTCCGTGCGCAAAGCATTGTGGGGATTATAAGACAACGGAGGATACACATGTGCAGCCTCGAAATGTCCTGCATCGAAGGACGCCGGCCTCGGTAGAATTCCAAGGATCCTGGACATTGGAACAGTCCTTCGGCGGGACTCGATGACGTAGCATCCTTGAAATAGTGGCTCTGGAGGAGCCTTCCTCGACATTGAGAAACACCCATGGTTTCTGCTAGTGACAAACACAGTGGCACTTTAATGCGCTCCTTGGGATACACAGAAGCTAACACAGCTAGCTTTGTGTCCTGCAGTCACAACTATGGCCATGCATTTTTGGACTGGTGTTGTTACCTTAGAGACCATAAACAGGCAGTGCATTGAAGAGACATTTAGACACAAAAGAGAGGATTATGGTTTGCTCACGAAGGAGCAAATATCTCGACAATGACATCTTTATTTGCGAAGATGTGGAGGAGCAAGCCGAAGCAAACACTGTGTGCTGCTGTGACCTAATTATGTTGGAAACTCTAATCTTATGAAGCTGCAGAGAAAAAGTGTAATGCAGAAATAGCCCATAACATCTTACAAAGGAGAACTAGACATCATGTGATTAATTCCACTGCACTCGTCTGCAGAATGTGTTTCTGTGTATATTTGCCCCATACCGAGGAGTGTTTCCAGTGGCGTATGATCTCTTCCAGGTTGTGAGCAGGGCATAGCAGGAAGTGTTCTCTCCACTCGTTCCAGTCCACCATCATCGTCCCATCAATGTCCATACTAGGGAAACACACAGAAACCTTTTAATCTATGGCTGAGCTTTCAGATCATACACAGGCAAAAATCTTGGAAACACCCTAAATAAAAACATGTTACAGTGGATTGAAGTGAAGGCCAAACCTCTGTAATATTTTCAGGGCATTCTCTTTGCTGATATCCAGGCCCAGCTCTGCAAGGGACTGCTGGATCTCTGAGGCATCAATGCGCCCTGACACAACATAAAAACTCAACTCAGACAAGCTGCAGTGTAAACAAAGAATGTGTGCTATTGTAAACATTAAAAGGCATGTCTGCTGGCACCGCATGTTAGAACTTGTGCCAAGTATTTTTATATTGAGGAAGTTCCTACCATCGTTGTTTCTGTCCAGGCTCTTGAATGTGAGCCGGAGCTTCTTCTCGTGCTCCTTCAGATAGTTGCTGAACTCGTTGAAGTCGAGACTCCCATCATTGTTCTGATCCCCAGACGACACGATTTTCTACAGAGAAGAGATCAAATCCATGAGCGGTTCTGGGGTGGAGGGTGGCTGGCTCAACAGGGTCCAGTGCCCATGTAACACTGAGCTTGGAACCCCCTGTGGCCCCCCTCCAAAAGAGAAATTATGATAATGCAATTTCTGATAGTGTTGCAGCAAAGACTGTGGGTCAAAAATAACAGTAAATGTTTTGTTTTTTTAATAATATAATAAGATAAAATTATATATAGTATATATATATAATATATTATATAATTTTTTTGTGGGGCTATGACTTTATACTGAATTTAAAATGTTGCAATCTTGACCAACTGGCCCCAGCTTGGCCCACCCCAATTAACATGGTATAGAACCGCCCCTGATCAAATCAAATGGTTCATTTCCCTCTTCCAGTTGCACAAGACACACACACACACACACACACACACACACACAGAGACACACACAGACATGGACACTACTTATGAATGCTATGCAAAACAGGCAGGCAAAGCTCTGAAAGTCTTCCCTCCTCACAGGACCCCAACAAGACTCCCTACCTGTGCGGCTCCCTGGCGAAATATGCCCATTGCCTTGAGGCCCGCTCGTAATTCAGCGACGTCCACCCTCCCATCTTTATTGGCATCAAGCTTCTCGAATAAGTCCTGGCATGACCTCTTGCTGTCGGCATCCCAGCAGTGCGCATTTGATAATAAAAGCGTCCGTATCTTTGGATACATTGTGGAGCTAATGAGGGAGCAGCAGTCGAGACGAGTCGCCGGTTCTGCAGTCAGGATCTGGTTATAAATCCATATTGAAAATCATCAATAAACCCTGCTGAAATCCAGATGTGAGCTCGGCGTTTAAAAAAGAGGTTTGCAGGCACTATATGTTGCACTGTCCCGTGCAGAGGTGTTACTTCGCAACGTATCAGGCGAACTGCAGTAATCGTGGGCGGAGCAACGCTACGTAGCGACAGCAGGGTGTTTTCCACGGGGAAAGATGGAAGGTAGAAATGTGACGAAATAAATAAACCCCGCATTACTCCGGTAATCCGCTTAATGCTTCTAATGGTGAACATCCCCATCTGTTTTTTCGCTCCTGCTTAATCGGATGGTTCATGTTGAGGAAATGTTATCTCTACATCTAGCAGCCGGACGTGTCAGTAGAGGGCTACACGCAGCTTTGTATTTCCTATAGCGCAGTGCATCTGAGCGCCACTAAAGGGCGCTGTTCTTCATACAGGAGCAGGCATAGATATCTATGGGAGCGGGTGCTGTCAGGAAAGTGAGTCAGGGTCCATCTGTGTGTATCATCACTGGGCCCCTAAATATGTGGCGGGTTTCACTGACTGTCAGAGGTGTTTATATTAAGCGTCATAATAACACACTTTATTTGTGTAGCCAATTTCATGTAATAAATGCAGCAGTGCTTTACAATAAGGAAAAATAGACACAGAATAAACAAACAAGGGATCAAACTTAAGAGGGGAAATAAAATGGAAAATAAAGCAAACTTTCAAATAACAGGAAGAACAAAGATTGAAATAGAATAAATATAATGCTACACATAAGATGGAAAATAAAACCCACTGAATAACAGTATTAGTAGAAATACAATCTAAATTACTTATGCAGATTAATGTAATGAAGTATAGAGTGAAATTAAGAGAAAGCACAATATGTAAAGTCCAAGTACCCAAAATGTTTACTTAAGTTCAATATTAAATTAGTAACACGATGCCACTTCTGTGCATTTATCATAGACTTAATGTACAGATTGTTATAGATTAACCTACACAACAGTATATAAAGTGGATAACATTTGAGCCAGCCTGCAAAAACATTAAAATGTTGCCTACATAATATATATATTCTTTATTCTTAAATTCAAAGTGTGTTCAAACAAATTTAAACCAAAAAATCTTCCTCATTAATGAAGTTATAAATAAGACGAGTTACTTTATCATTAAAGCCAGATATTTGACACTAGGGGGGGGTTACTTGTCAGAAATTGGTTCTATGTAGTCTATTTAGTCTAAATTATGTTCTCCTTAATTTTCCAAAAGTAGGTCCGGGTTCTTATGTGTTAAGCATAATGCTTTACTGAATATTCAATGGAATGTATGGCGTATTAACTTCTTTTCAATTACAGATAACAAACATAGGATAATTAAAAAGTATTTTTGATTGATAGTATTTTGATTGATAGTATTTAAGTGTTATTCCTGAGTGGCCATGTGCTTATTTAGCATGTCTTCCATCATTTCTTCTTATGGTCACATCAGAGCCGAATATATGGCTCTGCCATGCATGACATGACATGACATGCCTGCTGAATAGTATATTATCCCTTCTGTTTATTGGAACCACTTCTTCTAAACACTTCAGTGGTCAGGGTAATAGGTTCACTTTAGGGCATTAAATATGAATGAGTTTCAGAAGTGAAGTACAGGCTACAACTGTTACAATCGTGACCTGGGTATTTCTCCTTTCTCCAGGCCTGCGTTGTCCAATCAAACGGTGGAATTTCCCTTACGTCACGTATTATATTTTTCAGTGGGTGGAGAAGCAGATTTGAACTTTGAGTCGTGTCTGTCTGCAGACTGCAGCAACAAGCAGCAGCTGGGAGACGAGGAGGAGCAAAGAAAGTGTTCAGTTGAGGATTTACCACGACTGTCAGCGACGTTTAGGATATGTCGTTCATTCTATTGAAGAAAAAGAAATTCAAATTTAAAGTAGACTTCGACTTGGAGGAATTGTCCTCTGTTCCCTTCGTAAACGGAGTTTTATTCTGTAAAGTGAGACTGGTAGATGGAGGCTTTGCCGAAGAGTCGTCTCGGTAAGAATGTTTTTTCTATTTATAGCCACGTTTCCCTGGTTGTTCCAACATGCTAAAATTACTTTTAAGTTGAGCTTGTTTTTAGCCATTTTTAAGTCCGTGTTCAGGTTTATATGGACATTTTTAAAACATTTATTGTCACGGCTTTGCTCCTTTGTTGGCAACAGCATTCCCTGACTTTCAACGATCAACGTTAACTTGGTTATGTGTTGTTAACGTTGACTAACAGTAGCTAGGTTAACGCTAACTAACTAATAATACTTCAATAGTTTACAATGTGCTGTTGACAATGTGCTGCTGTGTTAGTAGCCCTACAACCAGGAAGATGAGATTTACACAATATTAATAGAGCCAGAGCTCGCTAATTTATTAAAAAATATAATGTAGGGTTATGTTTCAATCGAAGGAAGTTAATGTGTGTTCCGTTAACTTATGTACACTGTTGATCAAAGTAGTTGCTAAGCAACAAGTAGATACTGTGAGTGAGGCAGCAGCCAGTAGCCTACAGTATTTATCTTACTAGTGTTGGAAGAAGTACTCAAATCCTTTACTTTAAAATGACATACTATGGTCCTAAAACACTCCGTTACAAGTAAAAGTCCTGCTTTTAAAATGTTACTTGAATGTACAAAAGTATAAGCACCAAAATGACCCGTTTCAAGACTATAAAGAACATGATTTTTATCAGCTTAAATGTAGGCTACTTCAAGAATCAAAAGTAAATGTACTCGTTAAGCCGGATATCTATTTCTACATTTTGTAATATTATTGTTATTGTATAATCCTGTTTTTATACATTTAAGAGCATTTTAGTATGGTAGTTTGTGAGTGTTGACCAAATGTAGGCCTAGATACTTGAAATACTGTGTAGTACTACAGTAGCCTACTGCTTTATACCATATCAGCATATCATGTGTTTTATATGTACAAAGTAACTGGTAACGGAGTGTCAAATAAATGTATTGGAGTGGAAGTATAAAGGAGCATGAAATAGAAATACTCAAGTAAAGAACAAATATGTCAAAAAAAATACAAAACTTGAGTAAATGTACTTTTTTTCACTTTTCACCACTGCTTACTAATAAAAATATTATATTTGGGATTGTGTTATATAGCAGACTCCTTATAGTGTGTAATTTGTAGCAGGCTCATTTTCTCTTTTAGTCAGTTTTATATGCAGTGTATCTGATATTACTTGTGGCAGTTAGAACCAAAGCATTTTCCTCCAATGAAAGAAGCGCACAAGGTTTGGGGACGGTGATTATAAGTGCGTGTAACGTTACTGTGGCATTTAAATGAGTCACTATGGAAAGAAAGGCAGGCATAGCACATGTCTAACCCTCATTGCTTTGCCATGGTTACTCTCTGTTTCCAAACACTGTGTCTCACTTTTACCCTGCTCAAACCACAGCTGCATTCTCTGTTTTGAATACAAGCATATTGTCAATCTTGTGTGTGGTATAGGGGCGAACGGAAATTCTTATTTTCACATAATTCCTATTTATAATTGTTCTTTTTCTCCAAAGCCTGTTTTATTCTGAAACATCCAAATGTCAAGTGAGAATTGGACTAACATCTTGCACACATTTAGATCATGACCAGGTGGAATAAGCTGAGTGAATAATCATCTAATAGGTTTTGAGGGGATAACTCAAGGTGTAAAAATGGAGCATAAGCCCATTTCATTAAATAAAATTGTTCTTTATTTTCTTATATATTCCTAAAAATATATATAATCTTCCTCTTTCTTGATGCTCTGCGTCATACAATTGGATGGTAAACTATCATAAATCTGAAAGAGTTGGGATATATATTTGTTCGTTAATCATTATGCCTTTGTGTTTTTGTTTCTGTATGAAGAAGTGTTTCTAAATGTGTTATCTCTCACAGGGAGCAAGTCCAAGCCAACTGTGTACACTGGAGGAAGAGATTTTCCTTTGTGTGTAAGATGAGTGCCAATGCTGGAACAGGTGTACTCGACCCCTGTTTGTGCCGGGTGTCTGTGCGCAAGGTACAGGACATTTTCTCTGCCGTCAAGCTCTATTTTGTTGACACCACAAAAATACATAGAGGGAATTTTCCAAAACAGAGTCCAGATAGTTAACTGTGAATGTGCTAAGAAATGTTTATGTAGCCTACATGAGACCAGGAGCACTGGTAATTTGTAACCATACAAGCTTGGTGCAGCCAGTGGTCACTCTACAACGACTCATACATTTGTTTTTAATGTAAACAGTATATAACTTTCCCTTTTTGTCATTTAAGGAAGTGAAGGGCGGAAAGACCTTTGCAAAGGTAAGGTGTTCTTGAGTCTGTTGACCATTTTGTTGTAAACATAGCAGCTTACGGGCCAGATATCCATTAGAGGAGTCTTATCATAAAATATATGTGATAAAAGTCTACCTCTACGTGTGAAAGTGACCTTAAGTGAGGTGAGTCTCACAATGAATGTTTTTATTTCTAGCTTCCGGCTTTGGTTACTTATTGAAAAATCTCTAAATCAAAACTAAGGCTCTGTTAACCAATAACTTAAATGATGAGAAGAATTAGTTTGTCTGCTTTCTCAGGAATGTAAAGTCCCGTCGCATGTGGTGTGTTTCTAAAAACCTAAGCTGGGCTGGATTTTTTTTTTAAACAAATACTACTGTATGTTTTATAGGATGATGCTTTATGTACAGATACCTTGTTAGTGCTCACACTTTAACAGAGATCACACTGTTCTAACTGCTTGGTCTTTATACCCCTGTGCAGCTGGGCTTTGCTGACTTGAACCTGTCTGAGTTTGCTGGGTCTGGCAGCACCACACGACGGTGTCTCCTAGAGGGATACGACACCAAGAACACCAGACAGGACAACTCAATTCTAAAGGTGTGCTAGTGTTTAAACGCAAAGCTCCACAATCCTCCTTTCAATATTGTTTGAAATGGAATTAGAAGTCCCTCCCACAATGTTCTTCTAAAGTCCAAGCTTTTAGAAAAGCATAGAAAAGCCTAAAACCTGTTCTTGCTCAACTGTGCCACTCTAAATGAAGTCATCCGTTTCTGTAGAAGATGACAAAACGTTGGATTTATGTACTGAGTGGAACCGTGGTATGCCCCGACAGTTGATGCTACACATGTCTGAGCTTGTGATCTATAAGCTGCCTGAGCCATGGGAATGCATTTTAGACATTCCTCCAATGGACTAACATTTCACAACATTTAATTCCAACCCTTTGTTGAAAGTAACCCTCGTAAACCACACTACGTCGTAGCTTTTTCCCCATCTTACAAATACAGATGCTTGTCAGCCTAAAACCAACATATTTTGTTCTGTTTACAGGTTGTCATCACCACACAAC